TGGACGATGAGGGATGCTTATAAATAAGGCCATTCCCTGGTGGTGCAGTAACATTTCAGTGCCAGCATAAACAGGCATTTCCTTCCTCCCCTGCCTTCTCAGTTGTGTCAATCTGCAAGGCAATGCAGCTGACAAGATTGCAGAACTGATCTGTATTAAGAACAGCACTAAAAAAATCATGCATTTGAACTGGGACTGAGTTTGCCAAATAGTCACAACACCTATGCCAGCACAGCTAAGGTGGTGGCATGAGAAGACCAACAGCAAGAAGGAAGCTGGCATGGCTGACAGAAGAAACACTTGTCTAACTAGAATATAATTTAAATTGTTGGGCTTTGCACTAGAGGCTCTTTCCATTCCTCCACCACAAACTGGACCACCAGTCAAATACTCAGGTCACCAGTATTCCTAGGTAGAAGTATAGCAACATGGTATGGATTGAACAGGAGAGGAAAAGTGGGGAAAAAGCAACCAACCAATACTAACACATTAAAGCAGTTTAATAAATTGCTTCAGTGATGTCTTGGCTGAATGTGCTTCAGTCCTCCTCCTCCTAAAATGTTCAAATTAGGGAACCGACTGGAATACCCAATCTTCTAACCCTGCACCCACACCTTCTACCTGAGAAAAAGATTCTGCAGGTGGGTAGGGAAGCTGATGAATCTGCTTTTTTCCCATGATGTAGGGATGGGACACAGCCAAGGTGTACTCCTTGACTTCACCTAAGGATGTTCTTTTTTTTTTTAAAAAAAAAAAAAAATTCAGCTTTTTGAGTTCTTCTTCTGCTAGCACTAACAAAGTCAACATCTCAGGGTGGTACTGCATAGAAAAGGGAGAAAAATACATCTGAACAATGAACAGGTTAAGAGAGCCCTGGACTTTATAACTTTATTTGTGGAAGACTGCTAATTCTAACCATGCTTCTCTCCAACTCCAGAAATAAGGACAAAGCTGACAGCCAGAAAGTTTTAATCCTATGTCTATCCAGGTTATTTTTCAGTCAGTTTTACAAAATTGGAAGAAAACAAACGTGTATGGTTATCAAGGTAAGATGCACGTGTGGCACTAACCTGGTTTGCGATTTCTGGTTCTTATTTCCACATAAATAATGGCATCTTCTCACAACTACAACTCCAGAATCAACTATAAGCTTTCAGGATTAGAGGTTTTCTAAAAAGTGCAATGGATGCAAGCTGGACACCTCTGGGGTTGGAATGCAGACCAGTGAGGAGTGGTCTACACTTCACCAAAAGCCATCTGTAAGGGCTCACACAAGGTTTCCAAATGTCTGTTTTCTAAAAAACCCAACCCCTCCTTAACCCCTCAATCTGCTAAATGCAGTACGCTCATTTCTCTACCAAATATGATTACAATTCTGCTTCAACCACATCTTCTGCAAACAGAAAGGTGATTTATTTGTAACTGCTGAGTAAGAAGCAGTGGCAGTGTTTACAAAACCAGGACACGGGGTGCACTTGAGACGAAAGAAATTCCATCTCAGCAACACCCACGTACTTGCATGCCACACCTGAGGCTGTGAGCAGGGCAGAGCATGCCCTGTATCCTCTTCAACCTCAAAGCCTGGAAAACCTTCTTTGTGAATATGCACGTAGGCAACACATCCAAATGAAGCCATACCAAAGTAAACAGGGAAGGTAAAAAAAAAAAAACTTTCTTCCTCTGGCAAATGCATGGCTAGCTCTACATGCACAGTAGGAGACCACTGTTTGCACATTCATAAAAGCCTTTTTTCCTTCCCCCTTTCTTCGTTTGGAAATGAAGCATGTCTTTAGTATAATACCAAGGAAAAAAGGGTAAAGGGAGCATGCCAGTTCTTTGAAACCCAAGAAAGCATTCCCAAGAATTGAAAAGCTGCCCTTGAATCCACTGCAGAATACAGACTCATCCCTCAGAGGAAACAGCTGCCTTTGAGCGACTAAATCCATCCAGAATAAGCAGAGCTCCACAGCCAGAAGTTCTCCTCAAAGCAAAGCCTACTTACAGCCACACTGGTGCCTTGGTCAAAGCTATTTCCAGTCAAATAGCAAGGAAACCATACCTCTAGTCTAGCCACTTAAGAGACTTGCAGAAAGCTAAGGTCTGTTCATCTGGGTTTAAGAACACAGGTTTCCCAAAGAAAAGGGCTCTCTCCCATGATGAAGGATTTGTATGCAAGGTATATAGCTAAAGCACTGTTTGCACTCTTAGGAAATAAATTTTTCTTTTTTTTTAAATGGAAAAGGGTCTTTCCTCAGTGCTTTGATTGTCAAACACATCCTTTCCAATGTCAAAGACGAACCTGACTTGCTTAGAAACAGAAGATGTTAGAAATAAATCAGGAAAGAAAATTCCACCCTCACTTCTCTTAGCATTAATGCATTCCACAAAATGCTTTGCTTTACCAGCACAAATACCTTTAATTGGCTCTTCTGGACATTTCAGACCAAGTCTGACTTCCTTTGAATACTGGAAAGGTTCCTCGGCTATAATCCCAGAAGCTGTGCTACCCAGGGAGTAGTCCTGGAAAACCTTCTTTTCTTTTCCTTTTAATTGCACAACTGTCTCAAAGCCCTTCACCTTTGGATATTCTTACAGAGCTCCTTGGAAACAAGCCAAAGGCCAAACCCAGCACCAGTCTGCTCAGTCTGTAAATCAGAAGGAACAGAACCTCTACTGCAGACTGTCCTCCACAAAAGGAAAGGGGGAGGTAAAATAAGGCATAAAAACCTTAAGGGCTATTTTCATCTGAAGTTATTCGGCTTGGTGGAACAGCAGTCATCCCAATGGAATGTAGGCTTGTGCTCCAACAGCAGTTTACTGTTTCTACAATAAATGTCAGGACAAGGTGATACATCAGTGCCAGATCTTTACTATGGAGTGCCTACACATTCAACAGTGTCCAAGTTTAACAAAATTTTAAAAGAGCCCCATCTGTTAAAAGAACAAAGTTTAACAGCAACAGATCACATTCTTCTTTATCAGGAATGAGGAACAATACAAAAATCCCATTACTTTTGGAAACAACCATCCAATTACATGTGCATGTAAGAAAACTAAAAATTAAGGTAAGCCTCAAGTAACTGCTACTTGCTTGTTCTTTTCAGCCTGCTTTTATAAAAGATATAAATTTTTTTGCTTAAAACAAGGATATGTTACTCTGCAAATTGAACTCAGCACTGAATTTCTTACAGGGAGTGTAAATTTTGGATCCTTAAAGCCCATAACCACAGGTATTTCTGAGCTGGAGAAACCAGAGATGTAATCTCTGCTTTTGTTTTTCAAGTTTCTACATATTTCTTTGGAAAGATAACCCCGATTTCAAGTACCATAGAAAGAACCCAACACATTCATCCACAGCAGGGGCTTGCAAGGTTAACAAAATACTATGATACAGTTTTTATTCCCTTGTACCAAGGAATACACTTCAAGGAAATGGATCAGCCACAATAGATTATTAAATTAGTATACTTAAACCAGAGTGCAAAGACGTTTCAAGTGGCGCCCAAAAAGCCCTATTCCATGTAAATTAAGTGTATGCTGTTCTATGGATTCTACACAGATTCTGTTCTATGATTCCAAAGGTAACAATTCCTGTTGTTGTACCTCTAAGCTGTCTGCTCATCAAGCTATCCTTGAACACAGATAAGAGCTTATTAAACAGACAAACAGACTTTCTGAACAACCCCAACTAAAACCCTTGAATTTCACAGGTCTGTGATCACTGTCACCAGCTCTGCTCCACTTCAGACTGCTGTCAGGTCTTCTCATACACAGCCATGCTAGAAACTAAGTGGTAGGAAAGGAAGAGAAAATGCTCTAAACTCTTCAGTCTTTTTAACTTGGTTTTCTCTTGCACAAAGGAAAATTCAGAGTGGGCAGAAGGAGACAACAGGTCTCCCTAACTCTGACAACTCTCTCCCTTCAGCAGATTGCAGTCATCTTTGTAGTGGAAGTACCGTGCAGAGAATACAAATGTTGGAAGGACTGAGCAGATGGGCACCTACTTCTACACCAAGAACCTCACAGAAAACAACCCCGCACACCACCTACCACCAGGCAAGATTCTGCTCTTGCAGGGTAATTAAAAAACAATCAAACGACGAAGTTTTAAAAGCATCTGACATGTCAAATTGAGCTTTGTTTCAGTTTAAATACCACAACACCTCAAAAATTGGAAGAATAAGTGTAACAAACTGTAAGAAAGGTCACAGCATTAGAGAGTTGTGTGTTTCACAATAAAAACTGTTTTTTCATACATACATAATGTTTCCATGTACCTCTAAGATTGCAGACACTTAAAGTTATTCTTAAAAATATCCCAATCTTTGCATTCTTTTGCATAGACTGACGGACAACACTGTACAAATACAAGCAGCAGGTGGAGATACTACTACCAGGGAGGGGAAACAAGGGGACTTACTAGGGGGAGAAAGGACTCCAGATAAATTTCCCCATAGTTTAATAAAAAAAAAAAAAGCAATGTACACATTACATTTAAACATTTAAAACATGTAAATATACACATCTCACATTTAGAATTGTAAAAAATTATTTTTAAAACCCCTCAACATTCAAGGTGTCACTTAATGTGACCTTCATCCCAGCTCACACCTCTTGCCATCCTGCCATGAGATGTCACACAGGCGTCTGGGGAGCGTGAAGTCAAAGGTAAAAGTCAACTGACATATATCAACAGTGGTATCTAGACTGAGAACCCCTGGTCTAAATTTCAAGTTTCTATTCTGCAAAAAAGGAGCAGTGATCAGTTTTCACTTCTTTAAGATAACACACAATTACACATCAGGGCTTTTTGTTCTCAAGGAAAGCTCACAGCACTTAAAGCTTTTTTAGGAGTTACTCACAATATACAACAGGTAAAGCTTCTTTTAAAGCAAATCACAAAACTTCCGTGTGTTTGTTCCCAGATTTTCCCTCCCATGTTTTGAGCATGAAGTTAACAACTGATGCACAGAGGGGTGAGGAAGCCAAAGCAGACTCACTCGGACATCGGTGGCGTCTCCGTGCCGGATGATGCTGGCCCACGTCGCTGGCTCACTGCTGCTCTCAAAGTAGTGAAAAACCTTCAGGACTCGTTCCATGGCCCCTGGGGAACGCTCCATCCCAGTACTGAGGTGGGTCTTTGCACTTGAGCTTGGTGTGTGATTCAAGTTTGGATCAAGGTAAGCTGCTGCCATGGTTTTGCTAGATGCTAGGTATCTGTCATATTCTAGGAAAGGGAAACAAAAAAGACATTAATTTTTGTTATACCTGAATCTTACACCGATTCATACAACAGATCTATTGGAAATCCAGAGAAACTCATTTTTGAAGGACATTTAGTTGCATTTTTGGAGTATCCTTCTAAAACAATTACACCTCTACAAAGATAAAGCTACCCAGACGACTACCAGAGAAACTGCAAGCCCCTTGGAGCAAATGATCTGCATTTGAACACCACAATCTTTAACAAAAGTAGGATCTTTAGCAAAACTTCTTCCTTGGGTTCCTCATGATCTAACACAGGCCCCTGCCAAAGCCTTTGAGACCAAATAGCACCTTCCAGTTTTAACAGGAGTTCCCATCCCCAAAAGCTGCCAAACCTGGTCTTGCAACAAGCCTCTAAAGATCAGCACAAGGAAACCCTGACAGCCCAGTGACTAAGAAGTCACACACCAGCACCAGGCTCTACTGTTTAAGGCTAAGACATTGTCACATCACTTGTTTTGTGCTATTTTGGGAACCACTGCGACTCAAAACCATCCAGAACTAGATTCATTATTCACTGATAAACCACTATGAGCACCACTGCCTCTCCCCTCATCAACTAAGTGAGAAGTTTTATCATCAACTAAGTTTTATCATCAACTAGCTTGATTTCCAAGTGTGGTGGCAAAAGGCATGGACCATGGTATGAGTCTGCATCTCACAGAAAAAAGAAAAGGAAAAAGAAAAAAAATCTCCTCTTGGCTACTGCTGCAAATTACTCAGCCACAAGCAGATGGTGTCTGAGAAATCAATGCAGTACAAGAGAAAAAGAGCAAACACCACCTCCTCCCTTGCCTGACAGTCTCAAGCATCATTCCAGCCTGCTGGCTGGAAAGAGCAAAGAACTGCAGGGTTTGCTCCAGGGCTTGGACAAGTGCACCCAGCTGCCCGTACCTCCTCTTCCTCTCAGGGAGCAGTCAGTGGGGAGGCAGTTTTGAAAATCTGGAGATGTTAAAATAAACCTGATCTTTTTGGCATAGTGCTCTGAATGCCTTTCTGGTGGTAAAGCTGGCCTGCAAAAGGGGGGGGAGGAGAGCAAAGCTGCTCCAGTGCTGCTACTGAATGCCTGGGCTTTTTTTAGTTCATTCTGAGGTAGAAGAGGGACCCACACTTGCAGCTGGGCTCCTGTAACATCTGCTGTAACCCCTCAACAGAGCTTCAGCCACCCCACCAGCCTGCCACCCACCACGGTGCTCCGCTGGGCTCCCTGACAACCGGCTCAGGAAACCATCAGGAAAAGAAAAATGTAAAAAAAAAAAGGTGATTTGTTTTTCAGAATTAGCTTAGTTTTATAACACAGCTGCCTGAAGCTGCCACAGACATTAGACAAGAGGACAGAGAAACAGAAGGTGGTCAAGGGCAGGAGGTGAGACCAAGTAAGTAGCCTCCAGCAGCAGCTGGCCATTACACCACTTCACCAGTAATGTCAAAGCACACCGTGAGCTCAGCTAACAGGAATCCAGCCCCAGCAGTATCAAGGCTTAAAATCTTCAGACAGTAGATAACAACCTTTGCTAGAGGCTAAAACAGGACCTGAAGACTAACACAGTGATTTGAAGAGTCTACTTAATTCAGACCCACAAGATAAAGAGGAAGCAAAGAGCCCATCTGCACAGTGTGCCTTTACCTCTTGAATAAATAGCCGAATTGCATTCATCCCACACAACTCTAAGCACTTAAAACTGGCAGTACTGGGTCTGACAAAAGGCCTCTAATGTCAAGCCCTCAGGGAAGATGGTAAGAGTCAGCCAAGTAGACACTTGTCCCAAACATTGCCCCAGTGCCTGGCCAGGGACTTGCCCCACCTGCTAGTTTCATATCCCTGGTGCTTCTGTCTGAAAACTCAAATAAACATCTCAGCTTCTGTATCTTGCTCCTTCCTGGCAATCAATACAAATATATTAAGCCAACTTTAATGCCCACGTTAAAACCTTTCCTCCCATCCACCCCACACCAACAGATACAGATCTGAAGATGCCAGGAACCTCTCAGCAGTGCTGCCCTGGACTCTCCCTCACCAAAGGAGCTTGCGAGCTGCTCTCCTATAAACCTTGGCTTGAAAGCTGAAGCAGTTACAAAAATCTCCCCTGTAGCAGACTAATACCAGGACAACAAGACTGTACATGCTCCTCACTGCAGGGCTCCTCTCCTGTAAGGGTGAAACAGCCATCCTGAAACTCCAGATGTCGGCGGGGTGGGGAGCTCCACCAGGACAAATCTGCAGAGGTGAAGCCCTTGCACAGGGGTACTGCTAGGAATGAAGTGGCAGTTTGCAGGCTCAGACACAAGCCTCTCCTATGTTCTGTTGTCTCCTTCACAACAATCCACCTTACCCTCAAAGGCACTAAAAGAAATCCTGAACTCTATTTCAAGCTTATGGATGCAAACGGCAGGAAAATTTGCTACAAAACCAAAGGCAGATGAGCAATTTTAGTAGAGGAGAGCTGCAAGAAAGCCAGCTTTAGTAATAATTCACTGCATTCCATCAACTTGACACACATTCATCACATCTCATTTGGTAGGAAAAGAACAGGGAGAAAAGCTACAGGAAAACACCGAAATGAGCATTTAGAAGATACATCTGACCACAGACTTATTATGGACAACTTACAACCCTCAGGAGCAGCAACCAGGGAAGTGAGGGAAGACATCAGTGTCTACACACAGACGTGCTCATCAGCAGCACAATTTCAACAGACAGGCAAAACATTATTACATCTTTTCCATATTCATCACACTGAGGGGAAAATGTGGAACCAAACATCAGACCAACTGCAATGGATACAAGGTACTGTCAGTCCTCACAAGGTTCTATAGGACAGAGGCTTTTAAAGGTAGAACAACCTCCTACAGAAAATTAGGAAAGCAGTTTTCTTTCAGAATTTGATCACTGCTGGGTTCCTTAAAACTCCTTTAAAAAGATCCGAATGCTCACTTTATGAGGTACCAAAAGAGCAGTAAATCTGATAGCTCAAGGTACAGAAACACATGCTGCCTCTCTGGTTATGGACCTATTAACCTTCCTATTAAAAACAGCCCCTGGGCTTCAGTTTGTAATGTGACTGTAAAACTCTGCCCCGGGCCAAAACTTTGTAAGCAGCCCTCCTCCATGCAAGGACAGGAAAACAACTACTTTACAAGATCTGCTTGGTTGTTTTATGATTCCAGAAAGCTAAGATTACAAAACTAAGATGTTTATTTGGGCTCTCCTAAATTCAAACCACATGGGTTTGCAATCCTGCCATTACAGGTCTCAGTTTAAAAGAGCAGGTTTAGTGTTCTTGGTATTAAATAGACAAGGAGCACATTATTACGGAGCAGAAACAAACTACAGTCAACAAGAAGGAGGTAGATTTAGACTAGATGTAAGTAAAAACTTCTGTACAGTGAGGGTGGTGAGATGCTGGAAAAGGCTGCACCTGTGGATGCCCCATCACCCCCATCACTGAAAGTATTTCAGGCTGGACAGGGCAACCTGAGCAGCCTGTTCTAGAGAGATGTCCCTGCCCATGGCAGATCCACGGTCGGTCAGATGATCTTCAAAGGTCCCTCTCAGCTCAAACCCCTGTATGATTCCACACTGTGTATGCAGACTTAACTCTGCTGTGTTTCATAGGATATTGTGGTGAAAAAGAGCTGAGGCACATCCAGGCTAATGACCTAAAACCAAGTGTGGTCAAAGCTGTTTGTATACCAGGTTGTGTTGTATACCAGCTGTCCCTTTGAGCTTCCAAGAGTAAGAACTATTCTTCTCCCAACACTTACACTTCTGAAAAAGCTATCCCAATTTCTCAGTGCCCTAAAGGCTCCCAAGCCTGGGGAAGGAGTGAAGCAAACCAATCCTGTCTGCTGATATTTAGTGGGTCTACTAAGATGCTGCAGCTGTTACCAGACTATGATGCATGCTATCATGCAGATAATCTGCTCTGCTGTGGTGGAGTACCTGAGGTTTAGGAAAGTGTGTAAGAGATAGTTAAATAAGAGTAAAAAAAAAACCCCAACAACAAAACAAATCTTACAATGCTGCATTTCACAGCTTCTCAAAGCAATTACAAGAAAACAGAGTTTACTTTTTTAGTGCTCCTTTCTGGCTTTATACAATGTGGTTTTGAATACCTGCTCATTTTCATTACTTAAGTACCAGTTACGCTAGGAAAGTACCACAAAAGTTGTTCTGTTCTATCAAAACCCACCAAATTATGAGATAACAAACTGAATCCTTCTAGAAGTCATTTGCTGCTTGAGGT